CTCACGGGACGCCCGGCGCTGTGCCTCAGCTCTCTGCCCGCCTGGTGTCCCCTCCTGGCCAGCGTTCCCAGAGTGTGGGTGACAGTGCTGTCCCCGCCCCCTGCCCAGCGCTTGCTTCCGGGTCTGGTTTGACTTAAGCCCCGGGTGGGGAGCAGCTGAGCGGATGTGGGGGGCGGGGGCCCTCAGGAATGTGTCCCTCCCCCTCCACGGCCGCCTCCTTGGCCAGAGTCGCAGCGCCCCACCCCCTGGCCGCCTGGCCCAGCCCCAGGAGCTGCAGGAGCCAGACCTTGGCTCAGCCCTTTGCCCTGGGCCTGCCCTGTCCCTGCGCCTGTGACCAGAGGTGACCGTGCTGGGCAGGCCCGTGACTTGTGGGCAGGAGCAGGCCCAGGCCCGTCCAGGAGGCCGGCTGGGCTGTGAGGACGCCCCGAGTCCCATCTCTGCAGAGTCCCCTGGGTCGCGCTGTTAATGAGATCCATTTGTTTGGTAAAAAGCAACTAAAAATACTGCAGCCTCGTGCGCAGGGCACAGGAGCGGAGCTGGGTGACGGGCCCCGACTTGTCTGGGACCTGGAACACAGTTCCATGCCATCAGGTGCCTCCTCTGCTGCTGGCTTCTGACCGGGGGTGTCCCCAACCCCCAGGACACCCCAGGGCTCCAACTTGGCCTCCACGGCCTCCAGACTCCTGGCCTCCCTTCTCCTCTGGGCTCTGTGCACTGATAAAGGGACCAGGGACTCTCTGGGCCCCGTGGTGCCCTGCGTGGGCTCCCTGTCCTTGCGGATGGGACCTGGCCCAGCGGGGAGTCCGCGTGGCTGACCTTGGCCTCCTCTGAACCCAGCCTCTTCCTGGCGGGGGAGGCTGGGACCTCCAGCCTTGAGCAGGCGTGGGCTGTGACAAGGGCATCCGCAGAGCCCCGCTCAGGACCCCCCTCGCTGCCGCAGATCCTGGTGGACCTGGCGAACCATGGTGGCCGCCCGGCCCTGGCCTACGAGAGCGTGGTGGCCCAAGAGGGCAGTCCCATCCTGCGCGACCTGGTCCTCAGCCCCAACCGGCAGTACCTCTACGCCATGACCGAGAAGCAGGTGGGCGCCCGGTGGCGTGGGGTGACGTGGGACCTCGGGGAGGCTGGGGTCCACTGTGAGTGGGGAGCCACCTCTTCTTCCACAGGGACGCCCAGGGGACGAGTGGACCTGTGGGGCAGGTCTCAGGGAGCACTTTTTTTTGGAGGGGGGGTACTGGGGATTGAACTCGGGGACCCTCGACCCCTGAGCCCCGTCCCCAGCCCTTTTTAGATTTTATTTAGAGACAGGGTCTCCCTGAGTGGCTGAGGGCCTTGCCTTTGCCGAGGCTGGCCTCCACCTTGCGGTCCTCCTGCCTCAGCCTCCAGAGCCACTGGGATGACAAACGTGTGCCACCGCACCTGGCTCACTGTGCACTTTTGTGTCACCAACTGACCCATGTCCTGGGGAGTGGGGACAGATGTGAGGGTCCTCGCTGCGTCCTGATTCTCCTGGGCCTGGTGTTAGGAACTCCCAGTCCCTCCCTGTCGGGGACCAAGATTTGGAGGGATCAGTTTCAGAGCACAGGGGACCCACAGAATCCCTGGGCCGTCCCGTGGGGCTGTGGCTGCCATCTTGGGGGGGCCCGTGGTCAGCCGGCCTGCTGTCCAGGGCTGTGGCTCTTGTCCCTCGCTGGGACTCCTTGGGCTGCCTCTGTTCTGCTTTACCACCACCTGGGGACCGGGGGCTGAGGAGGTGTGCCAGCAGGGACACCAGAGGCTGGCCTCCGGGCCTCGCAGAGGCCAGGAGTGGCCTTTGAAGACAGCACCAGGGAGGCCTGAGGACCAGACGGACTGACCCCTGGCCTCCCACCGCAGGTGACGCGGGTGCCCGTGGAGAGCTGTGTGCAGTACGCGTCCTGCGAGCTGTGCCTGGGGTCTCGGGACCCCCACTGCGGCTGGTGTGTCCTGCACAGCGTGTGAGTCGGGTGGCCTTGACCTTGACCTGGTGCCCCTTGGCCTGGGAGGGCACCACCAGCCTCCTGTGCTGTCCGAGGTGCCCAGAGCACTGTGGCCAGGAGCGGGGCGCCCCAGGGTGGCGGGCTGGGCCCTGCGTCCCCGTCCTGGGTGGTGGCCGGCTGGGCGGGTGGCCCTGGGTCCCCTGGCCGGCCTCAGCATCCTCTGACCGCAGCTGCTCGAGGCAGGACGCGTGTGAGCGGGCGGACGAGCCCCAGCGCTTCGCCTCCGACCTGCTGCAGTGCGTGCAGCTGACCGTGCAGCCGCGCAACGTGTCTGTCACCGTGTCCCAGGTGCCGGTGAGTGTGGCCACCCCGCTGCGGGGGACGGGGTGGGGTGGGGACCCCGGTGCCCGCTCACCGCTCCCTCCCTCCCGCGTGGCCAGCTCTTGCTGCAGGCTTGGAACGTCCCCGACCTCTCGGCCGGTGTCAACTGCTCCTTTGAGGACTTCACGGAGTCCGAGGGCATCCTGGACGATGGCCGCATCCACTGCCGCTCGCCCTCCGCCAGGGAGGTGGCGCCCATCACGCGGGGCCAGGGTGAGGGTCCCGCTGTTCCCTGATGGGCCTGGAGGGGACCCCGTGCCCTGCGTAGTGGACAGCAGATGGGTGGCTCCTGATGACCAGAGTCTCAGGCTGCGTAGGTGACAGGAGGGGACCCAGGGCACAGGCGGAGCGGGAGGGGTGCGAGGCTGGGCAGGGAGTGTGACGGGCCCTGACCCCTCGGGGCTGCTGTGACCCGTCCCTTAGGTGCCTTTCAGACTTCCCAGGCCACCCTGTGAGCCTGTCCCCAAGGCCACCACCAGGAACGGGACAGGGTCCTGGGTCCACACGAGGACCCTGCGCTCCTGGAGGCTGACCTCGAGGACCTGCAGGGTCCTTGGGCACGTCCTCCCCTGCCTGGCCTTGTCCTGGGCTCTGTCCCCTCCTGGTGGCCCTGGTGGCCCTGGTGACAGGCCCGCGGTGCTCCTCAGGGGACCAGCGGGTGGTGAAGCTGTACCTCAAGTCCAAGGAGACGGGGAAGAAGTTCGCGTCCGTGGACTTTGTCTTCTACAACTGCAGCGTCCACCAGTCGTGAGTGTCCCCGAGCCCCGCCTCTGTCCCCTGCCGTCTCTCTGCAGATGCCCCATGGGTCCCCCCTCGGGCCAGCTGGGCAGGGAGCAGGGAGGGGCCTTCAGGAGAGCCACCCGCCAGGCACGGGCCAGGCTGAGAGGGACAGGCAGCGGGCGGGAGGTCAGTGCCACCCACAGGGCCCCTGGTGGCCTCGGGTGTGGGGCTGTGTCCCAGGCAGGGAGTGACGTACAGAGTCACACATAAAAGTTCTCGCTGGCCACCGGGACAGCCAGTGGACCGCAGGCAGCAGAACGGAGACCAGGACTTTGGGGAGGGGACAGTCTTGAGTAGGACTGGTACAGTGGCCCAGACCTGGCCTCTCGGGGCCCAGAGGGCAGATGGCCAGGGGTAGTGGCATCAGCTAGTAACTAGGGAGGTTCTGGAGGGAAGGCCGCTGGTGTGGGGTGACCAAGGCTCTGGAGAAGAGAACAGTGGAGGCGGGGGCCGGGGGACAGGAGGGCGGCGGGAAACCATTTGGGGGAGGTTTTCTCTCAGAAGCAGCACGTGCAAAGGCCCTGGGGCAGCACGGTGGGAGCGCAGGGGGCGCTGCGCTCCCGGCTGGGGTGTGGGCCCGGGGCCTGGCTCACCGCCCGCCCTCCCTCTGCAGCTGTCTGTCCTGTGTCAACGGCTCCTTCCCCTGCCACTGGTGCAAATACCGCCACGTCTGCACGCACAACGCCGCCGATTGCGCCTTTCTGGAAGGCCGCGTCAATGTGTCTGAGGTAGGACTCGGTGACGGGGTCTCGGGTCTCAGAGACGCAGACAGCCCCGCCTGCGTGCCACCTGCGGGCTGGCCGGGAGCGTCCCATGAGTGGTTGGACTGTCGGGCTGCTGGCCTCGCATCCCAGCAGGGTCTGTGGCCGTGGGGACAGCCTCTGGGCGGTCTTGGCCAGTGCTGTTTTGTGTCCCCTTTGTGACCCATGGGGCACGTGGGGAGGCTTCAGATCAGGCCCTGGGCTGGGCCTCTATTAGGGGGCAGCCCTGGGCGCCCAGGGCCACACCTCCTAGGCCCTGGTGGCCGTGGAGTACGAGCCTGGGGCTCAGGCCTGGCCTGGGGACACAGGGCCTGGCTGGGGGACCCGGGGCCTGGTGGCCTATATCTCGCAGGCAGACAGGGAACTCTGGGATCAGCTGGTGGGGGACAGTCCTGCAGGACTGGTAATTCAGTGGTCACCCTGGAGCCTGGCACAGCGCTGGCTCTGTCCACGGGCTACGGGGCAGATCCAGGGCCTGCTGGGCACCGCGTGGGCAGGACGCTGTGGCTGGACAGGCGGGGTGAGGGCACATGCCCTGCTGGGCACCTGTGGGGCAGGAAGTGTCCGTGGCTTGGGGCCTCCCAGCCACCCCAAGCAGTGGACAGGACAGGTATCAGATGCGGACTCCACGGGGCTGCATAGGGAGGGCCAGGAGCGCAGGACTCCATGTGGGTCATGGTCACCTCTCGGTCTAGCCCTCGCTTGACCCAGAAACCCTTGAGTGAAGGGAGGCCGGGCAGCCTTCACAAGATCCCAGCCTCCCAAGGGAGCCTTCAGCCTTGCCCCAGGTGTCTGTCCACCAGGCCTGGACCCAGGCCTCCCAGGGCGTGGTGGTCACCGTGGAGGCTGGGCAGGCAGGAGGGCAGGGGACAGAGGGGTGACCTGGGAGTATTGGGGTGGCAGGTGAGGCTGCCCAGTGCTGCTGGCTGTGGGTCCCACCTGGGGCTGCTGGCGGTGGGCAGGTGGCAGCGCGGGACGCTGGCCAGGACCTCCTGTGGGGAGACCCCGTTCTGTCTCCTGCCACCAGCGGCCTCCTGCAGTCACAGTGACACTCCAGCCTGGGCCCTACGGTGCAGGGCCTCGTCACTGGCCTCAGCACAGCCCTTGAGTTGAGGCCTGTGGCCACGGGGACATCTGCACGCTCAGCAGTTAACCGTGAGGTCCTTTCTAGACCTGAGGGGCCAAGTCAGAGTCCCTGTCCTCTGCAGGAGCCTGGCAGTCTCTGCGGAGCTGGCCCGGGACCCAGGGCCCGCTTCGGGAGCGGTGGCAGGCAGGCCTTGGGGACAGGGCCTGTTTTCAGCATCCCTATTTAAAGCAGGCTCTGCATCCCCGGGATGATCCTCCCCAGGCCGCCACCCCACATGCTGCAAGGACCCAGGGCCATTGCATCAGGTCTTTGGTGCCCAGACGCTGTCCCCAGGAGCCCGGGCTGTTTTTCTGCTGCGCTCTGGCTATTTTTACACGCTCCGAGGTCCCCAGCTGGGATCTCGCTCCCCAGTGTTGGTGGCGGCTGCCTCTAGGGGCAGGCCAGATGGGGCCCCTCCGCTGTCCAGACGCGGGGGTCTTTGGAAGGAAGGGGACATCCCCGGGCCAGCCTGGCAGGGAACAGGCTGCAGAGAGCTGGCCGTCACTCACGTCCTCAGGGTGCCAAGGCTGACTACATGGCACGGTCGGCCCGGGCTCCGCACACAGACCGCCGTCAGGGCGCACCAGAGCGCGCTGCTCTGGGGCAGGGTGTGGATGAGGTCCCTGGGGTCAGAGTGGACCCCGTTCAGCTGTGCCGATTGTCCCCAAGAAGCCTGTTGTCCCCAGGACTGCCCGCAGATCCTGCCCTCCACCCAGATCTACGTGCCCGTGGGCGTGGTGAAGCCCATCACCCTGGCGGCTCGGAACCTGCCCCAGCCCCAGTCGGGCCAGCGGGGCTACGAGTGCCTTTTCCACATCCCGGGCAGCCCGGCCCGCGTCACCGCCCTGCGCTTCAACAGCTCCAGCCTGCAGTGCCAGAACTCCTCGGTGAGCTCTGGGGCAGGGTGTGGATGAGGTTCCTGGGGTCAGAGTGGACCCCGTTCAGCTGTGCCGATTGTCCCCTGAGCAGCAGCTAGACAGTCCCCTGCCCTCCAGCCTGGGTTTCCCGTCTCTGCCACTGAGTCCCACCTCCCCTGCACCCCACCCACCTCCCCCCACCCCCGGCTCCCTGTTTGGCCCCATCTCCCCTCTCCTCGGGGCTTGAGGGCTGACTGTGTGAACGCGCCCTTCTCTGTGCCCATCTGTAGTGTCCCGTCCCCTCCTCCCTCCTCCCCGGGCCCACATTTATCTTTCCCGAAGTCGCATCTAAAGGAAGGAGAGAGTATCAGGGAATTTGATGGGATCCAATTAAATTCCTGCAGATTAAAAAATGATGAATGGCTGGGCCGTCCCCTTGGAGATACTGGGCCCCTGACTCTGCCCCCAGCACAGGAATGGCCTTTGAGGTCATCGGCTCCAGAAAGTGGGACACAGCTGGAGCGCCAGGCCCAGCCCCTGGGGACGGGGTGGTGACACTGAGGCCAGGCCAGCCTGGGGAGGGGCTGGGGACAGAGCTGAGCGCGACCGTGATTCCACGGGCCAGGGGAAAGCCACCGCACCCCGCGGGGCAGCCTGGTCCTCGTAGGGGATGAAGAGACTGAAGTTCACAGAGCATCCCGGACCGCGTCCAAAGGGCCCAGCCGAGGGTCCTGGTTTCCCAGCCTCCTTGGGGTTGGAAGTGGTGTCCGGGACGTCAGGGAGGCTGAGCTTGGGGGGCAGGGAGTTGACCCTGCTCGGGAGGAGGCTTGGCTGCAGGCTGGGGCCCTGAAACCAGGAAGGAAGACCCTGTGAGGCCATGGGGGAGCCATGCCGGGGGGAGGTGGGGGGCACGAGAGTGACCAGCAGGTTTCGGGTTGGACACTCCAGGTCACTCTAGGGAGGGTGGGTGCTGGCCTGACCCCCTCACTGTGGGAGGGGGTGGCTGACCCCGTGCCCCCTCCCCCCGCCCCCCACAGTACTCCTACGAGGGCAACGACATCAGCGACCTGCCTGTGAACCTGTCTGTCGTGTGGAATGGCAACTTTGTCATCGACAACCCCCAGAACATCCAGGGTGAGCAGGGAGGGGCCGTCCCGGGCACGGCGGGGCGCTGGGAAGGCGGGATGGTGGGTGGCCAGGGCTGACGCGCCTGCTCCCCGCAGCCCACCTCTACAAGTGCCCGGCGCTGCGCGAGAGCTGCGGCCTCTGCCTCAAGGCCGACCCGCGCTTCGAGTGTGGCTGGTGCGTGGCCGAGCGCCGCTGCTCCCTGCGACACCACTGCCCCGCCGATGCGCCCTCGGCCTGGATGCACGCGCGCCACGGAAGCAGCCGCTGCGCGGACCCCAAGATCCTCAAGGTAGGCCCCGCCCCCTGCCCTGGCCACGCCTC